CCCCAAAACCCCAAAACCCCAAAACCCCAAAACCCCAAGAAGAAGGGAATAATAGAAATAGGTGATATAAATAAAAATGGAATTTAGGGTTAAGTGGAAAATGGCAGGATTTTTGTGAGGGATTTTGGTCCTGATGTGTGTGAGTGAAGGGAGATGTAGGAAGATGTGAGGAGAGAATGGAAATAGAGGGGTGTTTGAGAGGTTTTTGGAAGAAGAACCTATACCTGAGGAGGAAGAAGAGCCATATGAGCCAGCTGAACCAGCTGTGCCAGAATGATGGGAGTTAAGAGCTTGAGATAAGTGACAAGCATCAAAACAAGAATGAGAATGGACTAATAATCAATGAGCCAGCGAAATCGAAGAATATATATGGGAGGTGAGCAAACTTGCTTAAGATTATTAGAGTTAAAAGAAATAAATCATCAAAGTTTGCAGATTTTTGAATGTAGAAGCTTTATTGCACTATTCCTTCTGATTTATCTAATAAACTTCACTATTCGAATAAAATCAAATTTGTGTTTAAACTTAAGTACTTATCAAAATAAAATGAAGGTATACTCATCCAGTTTATAAATTTGCAACTTCGAATTCCCACTTAAGTAAAATGAGAAGCTGCAAATTGCAACCCTTTTCAGCAAATAAAGATTTTTCGGCACATCTTCGTGATATTATTAGCCACCAGTAAAATGATCTAGCTTGCAAAAGTTGACAGTTTTAGGAATATCTCTAAATTTTCTAAGAAAAATCAGTTTATCTTCTATCTCCAGGATCTCGCTCAATTTTTGGCCAGTGTTTAATTTTGCTAAAAAGCATTGCTCCATTAACTTTTGCTGAAATTATCCATTTACTTTCCTAATTATTAATATACCTCCATGATATCATAACTTTATATTAATCCAAACTCTACTAGCAAGAGAGGGCCAGCTGCAAGATAGATTAGGGCTGATGAATTAGCCATCCCATTTAAGACATATTCAGCATCCTTTATAGTGTGATTTGGTTGCTTGCCAGAATACCAGATTCTAAATTTTATCTAGGAATAGCCCTCACTAAGTTAGAGTAAACCAGTGGGGGAAATAGATTCTTACATAAGCTAGTTATGCTCAATCTTCCTATGATTTCTGTATCATTTTTCTTAATTAAAGCAATTCTTTAATCAAATCCAACTAAAGTAAAGAGAATAAGATCAAAATACATTTATACTTCTTCAATCCTGTTCAGAAATCTAGGCCAAAAATAAAAGAAATTTGGGTCGGAGAAATATGAAGATTTTCTGAAAATATCAACTTTCTCATGTTCAATATGCTGATTTATTTTAGGAGGAAGTAAACACAGAGACGATGATCGAGTACTGAGAAGGAGCAACAGGTGAAGAAATAAACCTTGATGATATTAAAGGAGAAACCATAGAGTTAGCTTCAAAAGGAGATGCAAGTGTTTTTGAGAGTCCTATATGTGAATGGGAGTTTAAAATAGACCCAGGCAAAACAGTGGAATTATTAATAGAGAGAACCTCTGAAATTTTCGAAAATATTGCGCTTGAGTATACTTTTGCAACAGGAAGCTCGGAAACTAAATCTAATACAGATCTTTTCACCTGAACTGATCCCAATTACTCGTTACAGGATCTCGTTAATGTCACTAAATTTACGATTAGGGTCAAAAGATATGATACGGGCTCGAAATACTCAATGTTACTATCTCAGACTGGTAAAGATTTGACCTACCCAGCTGTATTTACTCGGAACAAGGCTCTTGTAAATTATGTAGCTTTCCTCTTAATGATTCTTTTCTGTGTTCTTGTGGCATCAATGGTGACGTTTGCCTTTTGCAAAGGTAATATTTGCTTCAAAACATCAGAGCAAAAATATCATGCTTTACTAAAGAAAATTGACGCTAAAAATAAATTAGAAATTGATAGCATGATGGAAAATATGGTTAATGGAGAATACAAAGATCTTAATATTACATATGTTGATAAACACTGAACTGTGTGATTTGATCCCTTTAAAAGAACACATCAAGTTCATCTAATAAATGAGTGACTCCATTTATTCCATTCAGATTGATTATCAACTTGGTTTGTGATGATTTCAAGGACTAGAAAGCTTGCTTGCCCACAATGAGATATTAAAACCTCAAATAAAAGCTTTAAGCCTATCCAGTACATGTCTAAGAACGAGAGCAATGAACATCTATCTCATAAAATAAATATAGATAGTAACCACAATGTTTCATCTTTCAGGCTAGATGAAAATAGTAGCATTCCAGATTCCCCAATAGAGCCTTCCTTCTATTCTACCAAAAACAGGACAATCAAGACTGCTTATGACGAGGGTCTCACAGAGAAAACCTTGTTCTAATCCTTGTGGTATTTTAAAGAAAATTCATTTAAACCTGATATCTCAATCTGACTGAGACCTTTTGGGGTTTTGGGGTTTTGGGGTTTTGGGGTTTTGGGGTTTTGGGG